TTTTGTTAGAAAATTGCTTTTCTGTCACATATTCCCTGAGTGTATCATAATCTCATCTTCATATTTTATGTCTCTTGATCTGTGTTTGCTGAATTCTGTATCGTTTCCTCAGATCCAATCTGGTTCACTAGTTCTCTTTGTAACTCAGACTAATCTACCCTTCTGTTTGTTTATTAGGTTTTAAATATTAATGGTTATATATGTGTTACATATATTAATATATAGAAACTTGCATACAGTGTAAACATAGTTTATCAAAAAAGTGTAACGCAGAACAAAATACTCACAATCCCCATTCCAGCCAAGCATATATCATCAGATAACCAGTACTCCAGAAGCTCGAACACCTCTTCTGTTCCTTGTAGTGGTAACAACACTGTCTAGACTATTTATGGTTTTTGTTTTACTGTTTTTCATTATAGTTGTATGTATATATGCATCCCTAAACTAATATACTTTAAGTTTGTGGGTTTTAAGCTTTATAGAAATAGAATAATAAGTATGCATTGTTTTATGTGGTTTCTTTCACTTCACACTATGTCTTTTAAGATATATCTGTATTGCCATGGTATTGGCACATCATTCATTTTCTTTGCTGCAATGTATTCCATACTTTGACTTTAATACAATTTGTTAAGCATTCTACTGAAGATAGATATTTGGGTAGTTTCCAGTCTTTGGCTTTTTCAAATTTAAACTTACTCCCAGATTTCCTCTTCGAGTTCTAATGTATTACACCCTGTTCTTGGTCACACTCTCTTAAATCTCTGATGCTTTTTAAATTACAGCCAATTTGTTCAGTTGTCTTCATATAGCATTTTGCACTATTTCTTGTGTCATTGACACTTTCGTGTCTGTTATTTTAAGCAGATATTTGATCTGTATGGGAGGTCTGAGTTTCTTGAGGTTTATGCCTTTTGTTTGTTTTCTCTCCCGTTTTGTGATGATGGATCATTAACTTTATCTTTGGTAGTCCATTGTGTCCCTTGAAGGAGATTTGTTTTTTTGCCTCTGCCAGGTGCTCTGAGTTGTCATTGGTTTTGAGTTCCTGTATCACACTGGGGTGTAAATTCGAACGTAAATTCCTGAAGGCAGCTTTGGGATAATTATCAGGAGACATTTACTTTTCCTAATATTCAGGGTCTCGGCCAAGACAAGTTTTTTTTTTTTTAGACTTCCGTCTGCGTTTGCTGGTGGTGGATTCTTTCATATTCTCTCCCACTTTTATTCTTTCTCTTCCTCCTTTCCTCCCTCCCTTACTCTCTTTCTTCCCCCTTTCTCCCCATCCCTCATCTCCCTGTTTTTTAATATGCCCCCCACTCCTGAAGGTGTAGTACTTTCAAAATCCTGACTGTATGTGGCCTTCCTAACTTCAGATTCCTGCTTCTTGCTGGCCGAGGACTTGTCCTTGTTGCAGGAGGGCTTTCACACCCGTTTCCTTGGTTACTCAGACTGGGCAGCCTCCCTCAGGGTCCGCAACTTGGCCTGGGACCTCAAACCAAAAATCTTCTGGTTTTTAGATTTCTCTTGGTTTGGGGCTTTCTTATCTTTTTTATTAAGCAGGTCACCTCTGTATTTATAAAAGAGTTTGATTTATTTTCTTTAAAACCCTGTTTATTTGATAGAAGAAGGTTTTTGGTTCATCTATTGACACTCTTTACCAGACTCCACCATATTTTAGTTTTTCCAGTTGCCTTTGGTGTAAGTCTTTGGCTACCAATGTTAGAAACACAAATGATTTCAGCAAAAGGGGGATTTATTAACTCTTGTAACTGAGAAGTACAGGGCTTTCCTGGCTTTGGGCATGGATGGATCTAGAGCCTAAGCCATGTCACTAGGGCCCCCTCTCTCTTCCTGCCTTAACCCTACTTTCCTCAGTGCTGGGTTTGGTTGTTGGACTTTATTTTCCATTTATCTAAGGAAAGTGATCACTACTATTTCTAGGGTTTTGGTATCTTTACAGCTTATGGTCTATCTTATGTTTTTTTAGCATTTTAACATCAAATCCTAGGGAAGACTTCTTTACCTAGTTGGGTCACTTTGCCACTTCTGAACTGATCAGTGTGGCTGGTGGGCAGCTGGTGGGCGTGTATATACCAACTAGCCAGGCTCGGTCATGTGCCCAACCCTAGGATGTAAGGGAAGATACACTGTGACAGGCAGCCCTACTAGTCCACATGGATAGTGGGAGGTTTGGTTCCTCAAGGGAAAAACCAGAAGAGGCACCTAATAAATAGAAAAAAATGCTAGGAAGGCAAGTATCATATATGTGCACAACACGTTCCTTATCAGGTCATCAGACCTCTTATCAGAAATTTAACTGAAGATACGAAACTACTGCACTTTCCACACTGTCGCTGCTGATGAGTGATCATTCTTCTCATGCCTCAGTAGATGAGCCAGCTGTAAGTGCCACACTGGATACTTTTCCCTCTATTGGTAAGTTCTTTCAGCTTCTGAAATCAAGGAATCTGCTCGTTTTTCTTCCCCATTGCTGCTGTAGTCCTCTCACCTTTGCTCTGTCAGAATTAAATCCTTACTGATCGGCAAAGCATCCACTCTGGTTCTCCTTCAGTCTGTTCTCCACGTTGTCGTGTACGCATCTGTTTCAGAATGCAAATCTAATTATGTGTTTCCTATCTTTCAAATATACCTCACACTTTCATTAAACAGAAATTATTAACTAGATTTGAATCGGGCCCTTCACTACCTCTTCAACCAGTCTTGCTCAAACATTCCCTTTTATACAAATTAAATTGTAATTTCTCATAGTACATTTACCTCTCCCTTTAACATTTATTATAATTACAATTTTAGACTTGTGTATGAGTATTTGATGAATGTCTGATTTCTCCACTAGACTATAAAAGCAGATACCATGTCTGTTTTCTGTGATCATTTAATTTCACTAGCTAGAATGTGGCGTGGCTTATAGTAGAAAATAAATATTTGTTTCATTAATTAACTGATTGATTACTGTAAAGGGTCCTCTGTGGTAACTAGGACAATTTATTTGTTGACATCCAAGAGCTTTCTAGTCAATTGATTTTGGATTTAGGCCCTCCAATATCATCTGACTTGTAAGCTTATAGAGAACATTGTGTGGCTATCAAGTGACAAGTGTGGGGATGTTTCAAGTATATGTCAACACATGCTTATGTTCATGTGAAATAATATGAAAGGAAGATTCAGATTAGAAAGCGGTAGGGATGTACTGATTGAAATCAGCAAGGAGGACGACTTACGACAGGTTTGATATCTTTTTTCCCAGTGGCAACAGAAGTTGCCTAGTTGGAATCTTAATTTTCCTTTTGTCTTTTCATGTGTCTTAACATTCTTTTTGGCTTAAAGCTTTATTTGCTGCAGTGGCCACTTGTTTTGAGACAAGAAGCAGGAAGTTTCTATCAACGTAAACCTCAGGAAGTAAAGACCATTGCCTAGAGTAGTTACTGTGCTAAATGGACCAGGGTTAGGACAGGGCTGTTTCTACCCAGCCTTGAGCATCATAGTAGTAAAAACAGTTTGCCATGGGGTGGGAGGAACGGTGTTTCTCATCCCTTCTATACCAGAACTGGTTCCCTTTTTCTGTATATACCTTCTTGAGGTTTTGTTGTTGTTGTTTTACCATTCCTCCTGCAGTTCCTTTGAGTGAAAATGAAACGACATAATGTGAATAAAGATGAAAAGTGGTTTTTAACTGATATAAATAAGTTTAGTTTCTTCGTTACTGTAAAGAGAGCTGGGTTCACAATTTATATGTAACATCCATTAAAACTGAAGCAGTACTTTCTTCAAGTGGCTAATAGCATTGCTGATATCAAAAATTTTGGAGACTATTGAAGAAAATAGTGTCTGTGTACAAATGTAAAGTATAGTTTATATGCTTTAGGAAAGTTTACATCTATCATGTGGAGTAATAGAGAAAAGAACAGTTGATAGAGTTAGGAGAAAGAAAAGGAAAAATGTTAGGAGTAGCGATAAGAGAACACAGCATTTTGATAAATGTACTGAAAATATACCTGAAGAATTTGATCTTGTTCTCAATCTGTTAAGTGCTGATTTTCAGTTGTATTCAATACTTATTCCATCTTTTTTCCTTTCACTTCCCTTTAAACATCATCCTAACTCTTAACACAGTGCCTCGCATATTCTAGCCTCTTGATAAATAAATACCTGTTAGTTGAATGAATGAAAGACTAACTGGATGAAGAGAGGATAGATGAATAACAAATAAACATACACATCAACTTCCCTTATCAGGATTTGAAAACAAGAATCTTTTAATCACTTAGATAATGTAGTGGACAGGATTGAGTTGATTAAAAAATTTAACAGTAGAATTTTCAGAAGTTGTATTACTGCATCTAAAATGCAAATGGTAAATAATAACATGAAATAAGATAATTTGAAATTGAAATGAGCTTATATTATTAAATATGTGTTCTTTAATGTAGAAATCATTGATTGCTAGGCTCAGAAGATAATTTTTTAAAAGCCTTTGTTCTTATTCTAACTTGATTCATTTTAGAATTTTGCCAAGTAGAAATTGTTTTGAACTTCCTATCTAAAATATATCAATTTTCATTTCTGAATTACCTTAGATTTTGATTTAATAAAATCGAATCAGTGGATTTTACTACATATCATTTATTGGGTTTAATTGCTATATATCTATAAAATATTTCCACCCACATTTAGATCTACATGATTGGTATTTCGGTTTTATGTGTTTGAATATTTGAATATGGTTTATGGTAAAGAGTGTGGGGTGTGGTGTCAGACAGTTTGAGTTTTAATCCCCATTGTGCTACTTAGCAAATTATTCAACTTGTCAAACCTTAGGAGGATCTTGTGTAAAATGAAGATGATACCTACCATAAGAAGTTCTTGGGAAGATATAATAAACTAATATATAGAAAGTGCTTAGCACAGTGTCTGGTGTATAATAGGCATTCAGTAATTGGGAAAAACTATTTCCCCCCTTGTGTTTTGTTTTGCAGCTTTCCCTACAAATAAACCAGATAAAGATGCAAGACATGTAATAAAAGTGGTAAGTAATGCTCTTAAATTTGTGTTTCACATATATTTGGCTTGTTTATGCTTTATTTTATTTTTGCAAAAATGTTTCTCATCATACTTTTCATAATTTTACTTATCAAACCTGATGTAATGCTATATTTTCACATTATTCAGATGTAAAAACTGGTGATCTTGCTCTTCTGTATTGAAATTTATAATCCTTGTATCTTACCTAGCCGTGTTCTCCCTCTCTCATTCGCTCCCTCTGTCCTCCTCTCCCTCCCTTTCTGTTCTCGGTGGTAAGGTCCTTAAAGTAAGGGATGAGGTTTTATTTTTGTTTGTATCCCTTGTGCCTAGTACAGTGAATGAAATGAGCTATCATGTAGAATGAGCCACAAGGGTAGTTTGTAGTGGATCCACCCTGATGTCCATGTCGGCACACACTGAGTGTCTATGAGTGTGTAAGTATACAGTGTTCAGTGCTTTAGTAATTTCTTTCCATAAAAAGACTGCTTTCATGTATAAGACTGTAGAGAGATAGCATTACAATGTATTAAATTTTAAAATGAGATTCTTCAAGTGTATTTAGTGGTGTGTTTGGTTTTTTTTTTGAGATTTTTAGTAAAAATCTGGTGCCTGTTTTTATAATGAATGATTCAAGTACTATTATATATTACATATGTATACTCATAGTTTCACAGTTGAAATACCAGTTCCATCTTTAAGATTATTTTTTCCTAATAAAATTAATCTTTTTTATAGGAATATCAAGAAAATGGCCCATTATTTTCAGAACTCAAATTTTATCAAAGAGCTGCAAAAAAAGATTGTAGTAAGTAAAATTAGCAAAGCAAGCTACTTTAATATGTATGCTTGCTAAAATGAGTGTTAATATTTTTGTCTTTTTCTAGCCTTCTGGAAAATTCTTTTTAATTAGAAATGTTATTGTAAAATGATAAGTTAGCTGTTATATAAAAAAAGACAGACGGTGTACAAATCTGATATTACATACATAATGGGTTATGTATTTCAAGTCAGAGTTGTTTCTGCTGCTTTACAAAACATTTTGTGTTGTTGATCTAAGCTACCAAGAGTTCTCTAAGTATAAAAGAGGGAAAAATGAATTTTTTTTCCCCCCACAAAAAAACATTTGGATAAGAAGGATGTAAGGAAAGTAATTAAAATAGGTGATATCTATATCTATATATAGATATATGTCTATATATATAAAAGGAATGGTCTTAGAATGGATTAGGGTAAGATGTATGGAAGTGATTAAACATTAAGATGATTTAGAAAATAAGTTAAAAATGTTACAAACTTGAATGCTGGGAAGTTAATTGGAGCTGGATATCAGATGTCAACTCAGGGTTTGAATGTGAAATGAATATGAGCAGCGCTAAAGAGAATAAAAGCATTTTATAAAGACTATAAGAGATAGATGGACTAAGTAAAGCTTTAAGGAAGTTGATTTGAGTAATGACTTTATAGTCAAGGTCTTTTACATTATGTTTAGGAAAAAGAATGATGAGTCTGGCCTCAATAATTAACTTTCTTTTCCTTAATAAAACCTTCTAAACATTAAGACGGTAGTCTTTACTAACTGCTTAAACTTTGTCAGGGTGACAAATAGAATCCATTAAACTTGATTGTTTATCAGTAGAGCTGTCTTAAACATGAAACATATATGGTAGAAAAGTGAAAAATTAAATAAGCTGCCTGATGGTTTTAAGTGAATGTGATTAAAAAAACAAAACTAAATTTAATCAAAACAATTTCTGTATAACATAATTTCAGAGTAAGATGATTTTTCTGCCTGATATCTGTTTTTTCACCTACCATGGCTTTAGGTTTTTAAGTAATAGGGAAAAAACAGCCACCTCTTTCCTGATCTTTTTGGTGGTTAGCATGTTATATTTAAAAATTTAACTAGCATATAAGGGAATTAATTTTTTTTCACGAATATAAACATTTGTATATATGATACCAATGCATTTTATGACTGACTACTTTTGTTTTGGTTATAATTGATTTAATTTAAAATTTGTATGTTTCTGTGTTAATTATAATGATAAATAGAATTTAAAGCCATGAGATATATTTGATTCTTAAAAAAATATTTTTAGGAACGTCTTAATTTATATTTAGTTTAACTGAATACATTTTAGCATCAATGCAAAAGTGAGAAATGCCTTTCTAAGAACATGGATCTTTTTTTCTGGTAAATTTGTCTTTGCAGTCAAAAAATGGATAAAACTCAAACAACTTGATTACTTAGGAATTCCCCTGTTTTATGGATCTGGTCTCACTGAATTCAAAGGAAGAAGGTAAATGGAATTATTATAATAATCAGATATTGTCCTATCACTATTTTTTATGTGGTCTATCTGTTGCTATGTAACAAGTTACCCAAAATGTAGTTGCTTATAACAACACACTAATATTATCTTAGTTTCCACGGTCAGTTACGTATAACTGGCTTACCTGGATGGTTCTAGCTCAGGACTGCTTATGAGGATATAGTTAGCTGTCTATTGGGCTGCAGTCATTTCAAGGCTAGACTGGGGATGGCTCTGTTTTTAAGGTCACTTATGTGGCTGTTGTCAGACGTAGGAAGATCTGCTTCTAAATTCACTCATTTGTTTGCTGGCAGGCTTCATATTCTCACCATGTAGGTCCCCCCGTGGGCTGCCTGAGTGTTACAAAGACATGGCAGTGGTTTCCCCTAGAGCAAGTAACAGAGAGAGGGAGAAAGTACACACACACACACACACACACACACACACACAAACACACAAGAGTGCATTCACAAAGAAAGCCACAGTCTTTTTATCCCATCATTTCTACTGTATTTATTTTGCTAGAAGCGAGTCACCAAGTCTACCCCAAACTCAGGAGAAGAGAATTAATTAACCTCCATCTCTTGAGGAGAGGCAAAACCAAGAATTTGTTGGAATATTTTAAAACCACCAAATATGGCTAATCATCACATATAAATAATTACTACCGATTTTCAAAAAGGAAAAACATTCTGTCATTTGTTAGGTACTCATTTTGTCCTTTCAATAGTAGCCTTTGAGGTGATACATTACCCCCCCCACCCGGTGAAAAAAATAGGCTCCGGGGTCAGCGTTTTGCCCAAACGGTCTTTAAGTATTATAAATAAAAACAAAATGAACAAACAGTAATCTCATAACAAAGTAAATGGCTGCCAAAAGGGGACTGAATGGCTAAGTAAATCATGGTACATCCACAGCGTGTAATATTATGCAGCCTATTATGTAAATCAGTTAGAGCTATACCAGATGATTTGGAAGGATTTCAATAAGATATTATTGAAAAAAGTGTGATGCAGAAAAGATCACATTTTTGTAAAACAAAGACAAATTCTTATATGTCTGTGTTCATGTGTGTTATGCATAGATGTAGAATAGGGGTTGATGTGGGGATGTAAGTGAAGAGAAGAAAACGGGGTGGAGGTGCAAACAGAAAAGGGAAAAGAGCATTTTTAAAAAGCCATGTTTAAAAATGTATAGAGACAGTAAACATGATGTTACGAGACCAAAAACAAACATAAATAGAATTTTCTGTATGGACAAATAATTTTTTCAGGGCCATATGGCGAGAAGGTGATGGAGTCAAAATGAACTAAATTCAGAAATATTTAATTTAGATTTTCATGATCTAAGACAGTGTGAGTGGTTCAGCATAGCATTCTCTTCTACTAGAATACTAACTGCAAAGTAATATTGAGTAATGTCTTCCTGCAAAAGAACAGCGTTATCATTAATGTACAGTCATTCTCTAATGGTTCAGGTTGCATCAGTTTTTGTTGTTAGGTTGGGAATATTTTTCCTCGTTTCAATTCATACATAGAAAGTTTTAAGCTTTGCTGTCTTAAGATCTCTCTTTGATGTCTCCTTACAGATACAGATTTCTGGTCATGGAAAGACTAGGAATAGATTTACAGAAGATCTCTGACAAGAATGGTACTTTTGAAAAGTCAACTGTCCTCCAGCTAGGTATCCGAATGGTAAGAAAGAATGACTTGTTTCACATACTCTACCTCAGATTATTTACTTGTTACAAGACACAAATCATTGCCCTTTGTGGAATTATCAGAGAATGAGGGATTATTGCCCTAAAAATGTCAGTTTTTGAGAGTAGAGGCTATTTTGGTGAAATTGATAACAGTGGGCTCCGTAACTGACAGCATGTGCTGTGTTTGGCACTACAAACTCAATTAGGCTTTGGTTCTACAGTCTGATTTTTTCCTCACAGCTTTGTTTTACATATCAGAACAAGCTTGCATTGCTATAAGAATAACATCTCTTTTGTCAGTTATATTTATAACAATGGAAACTACGGCAAATTATATTATTTTCCATACTAAACACATGACGGTATGGGGGTGTTATAAAGTGTTTATTATGAGTTTGGGATGGTGGCAGTAATTAGTGTGGCAATGAATAATATATACTTTGCCAAATAAGAAGCAATGAAATCTTAATAGCACCCATGCACACATTTTGTTTATACTACATATTTGTCTTATCTTGTTTGTGTTTGGTTTGTCTAAGTTCCATTTTATTTTTTCCATTTCAAATAGGATTAAACTACTCATGCCAGGTTGGGATGTGGCAAATAGAGCTCATTAATTTTTCCCATTTGTCCATTTATCTACCTAGCCAGCCAGCAAATGTTTATTGAACACTAGGCGTAGGTAACATGCAAGGCTCAGAGGCTTCAAAGATGAAGCTAGGGTGTTTTCTACTATCCAGGGGGCAATACCTTTCTCTGTGCTCATGGACAGGTTTTTTTGTTTTGGGGTCCCCAAAACTTGATTTACAATTATTCCTTGGGTGAGGGCTTCATGATTCTTTCACTTTAGATCCTAGATTTTATGTGTTTTTCCTCTGCTCAGTGGGATTTGGCCACCGCGCTGTCAGGAGCATAGGCATGAATATCATTGAATCTTGTTCCTTCCATCAGAGACTCCATCAAAACACTTAATGTTTGAGGCTCATTTTATTCAGTTTTTTCCCAGGATGAGCAATCAGTACATGCAATATTTTAGCATTGATAAATAATTGTGAAATATGTCACTTTGTCATTGTTAATATGAAAAACATGTTATTCTATATTCAGAATGTTCAAGTTGATCATGCGTTCTAAATAGACATCGGTATAACCTTATGTATTTCTTTTCACAGTTGGATGTACTGGAATATATACATGAAAATGAATACGTTCACGGTGATATAAAAGCAGCGAATCTACTTTTGGGTTACAAAAATCCAGATCAGGTAAATATAATATTAAGCTTTGCTTTCAGTAAGAGTCCTCAAAGTACCATGCTGAGACATTCAAAAAACAAACTCTTAACCCAGAGGAGTTTACTAATGAGGACTTAACATGGTGAATGTTGTGATTTATCTTACCTTGTTTATCTTATTTAATGCACTAAACGAATAAATAATTAGGGTGAGGAAATGGAGACTCAGTGGGGTTAAATAATTTGTTAATGGGCATATAGTTAAGAAGGGGTTGAACAGGACTTTGAACTTCTGAGCAAATTTAAACAAAGAACCATCAAAATCCAATGGGAGAAGAGATGAATTTATGCAGTGAAAAAAACAAAAAACTGTCACATTAGCTCCTCTTCTATATAAACAATTAGGTTTTAAACAGAGCAGCATTTCCAATAGAACTTTCTGTGATGATGGAAATATTCTGTATGTTACTGTGCAGTATGGTAGCCAGTAGCCACACATGGCCGTTAAGCATTTGAAATGTGGGTAGTACAGCAAACACCAAATGCTGGCGAGGATGTGGAGCAACAGGAACTCTTGTCATTGCTGATGGGAAGGCAAGACGGCATGACCCCTGGGACACAGTGTGGCGGTTCCTTGCAAACCTGAGCATATTTTAGTATGTGATCTAGCAGTTACACTCCTTGGTATTTACCCAAAGGAGTTGAAAACTTATATCCATACAAAGATCCACACATAGATGTTTATAGAATTATCTTTGTAATTGCCAAAACTTGAAGCAGCCAAGAAGTCCTTTAATAGGTCTTAAATAAACTGTGGTACATTCAGACAGGGCGATAGTAATAATATTAAAAAGAAATGAACAAAACACGAAAAGACATGGGTGAACCTTAAATAATGCACATTACTAAATGAAAATTTATAATTCCAACTATATAACCTTATAGAAAAGGCAAAACTATGGAGACGTTAGTGATCAGTGATTGCCGGGGGTTAGAGGAGAGGGAGGGATGACTAAGTGGAGCACAGATGATTTTTAGAGCAAGGAAGCTGTTCTGTGTGACACTGCAGTGGCGAATACGTGTCATTATGCATTTGTCCAAATCCATGGAGTCCTCCACACCAGGAGTGAAGCCTGATGTAACTGTAGACTCTGGGTGATTATGATGTGTCGATGTAGGGTCATCTGTTAAAACAGATGGAGTCCTGTGGTACGGGACATTGATAGTAGGGCAGACTGTATTTGGGGAGTGGGGTGAACAGTGGGTATACGAGAACTCACTGTACTTTCCATTCAGTTTTAACTAAATTGCTCTAAATTTACTAAAATTGAATCTAAAAACTGCTCTAAAAACCTAAAGAGGGCCGGCCGAGTGGCTCAGTTGGTTAAGAGCTCGCTCAAGAGTTTGAGCTCTGAGCAACAGGATCCCCGGTTTGATTCATGGCCCGAGCTGAGCTGCCGCTGAGCTGCCAACAGGTGGCAGGATGGCTCAGCTAAAAAAACAAACCCAGAAAACCTATAAAAGTGATTACCATAATCAAGTTAACACATTCATCACCTCATATAGTTAATGAACCTTTTTTCTGTTTTGTTTATGGTGCAAACGCTTAAGACTTACTCTTTCAGCAAATTTCAGCAAATTTGAAGTATATAGCATTATTAACAACAGTCACCGTGCTGTACATTAGATCCACAGAACTTACTCATCTTCTAACTAAAAGTTTGTACCCTTTGACCAACAACTCCCCACTTTCTCCACTCCTACCCACTGACACCAGTTTTCTATTCTGGTTACTTTTTCACATGCCACATATATGTGAGATCTACAGTATTTGTCTTTCTGTGTCCGGTGTATTCACTTAGCATAATGTTCTCTGGCTTCATTCATGTTGTCGCAAATGACATACGTACATGCTTTTTTTCATTTCACATTTTCTTTATCCATTCATCCATCAGTGGACACTAAGGTTGTTTACATATCTTGGCTGTTGTGAATAATGATTCAGTAACATGGGAGTGCAGATATCTCGTCAAGATAATGATTTCTTTTACTTTGGATATATACCCAGAAGTGGGTTCGCTGGATCCTATGGTAGTTCTTTTTTTTTTTTTTTTAGATTTTTATTGGGGAATTGGGAGATGGGAACAGTGCTGGGGAATTTGTGGAGGACGTTGCTTCACTGGTGCAAGTTGGCACCATCATTGCGCTCTTCCCAGGCGAGGCAGATCAGTCGCTGGCTTCTGGACGGCTGCTCACGTTGGCTGCTGGCTACTCACTGTAGCCCATGGCAACCCACTGCAGCAGCGGCTGCAGCCTACGCTGCCGCCGGTGACTAACAACAACCCAGCTCCAGGTTGAGCTGTTGTTCAGCATCTTAGCTGTAGAGGGCAGTGTCACTGACACTCTTATGTGGGATCCGAACTGGGGCCCTCTGGCGTCCCAAGCCAGTTCTTAACCATCGCACCACTTGGCCAGCCCCCTATGGTAGTTCTATTTCTTAAGTTTTTTGAAGAACCTCTATATTGTTTTCCATGATAACTATGCCAATTTACATTTCCACGAACAATGTACAGGTTTTCCTTTTCTCCGCACCCTCACCAACTCTCATGTCTTCTTGATAATAGCCATCCTAACAGGTGTGAGGTAATGTCTTCATTTCCTTGATAATTAATAATGTTGAGCACTTTTCATATACCTGTTGGCTGTTTACATGTCTTCTTCAGGAAAATATCTATTCAGGTCCTTTGCCCATTTTATAATTGGGTTATTTGTGTTTTTTAAATTGTTGTTAATGAGTTACATGAGTTTTTATATATCTTGGATGTTCACCCCTTATTAAATGTGTGGTTTGCAAATATTATCTCCCATTCCATAGGTTGCCTTTTCATTTTGTTAATGGTTTTCTTTGCTGCATAAATCTTTCTAGTTTGATATAGTCTTACATGTTTATTTTGGTTTTCTTGCCTATGCTTTTGGTGTAAATTGCAAAAATTCATTGCCAAGACCTGTATTTATGGTTTGGGGGAATTAATATTGTTAAAATATCCATACTACCCAAAGCAATCTACAGATTCATTGTAATCCCTATCAAAATTCCAGTGCCATTTTTCGTAGAAATAGAAAAAAACAATTCTAAACTTTGTATGTAACCACAAAAGACCCTGAATATAGTTAAAGCAGTGTTGAGAAGGAACAAAGCTGTTCATACTTTCTGATTTCAAAATGTGTTATATCGCAAGAGTAATTAAAACAGTATGCTATTGGCATAAACCTTACCATACACCATACACAAAAATTAACCCAAAATGGATTAAAGATTTAAATGTAAGACCTAGTGATAAAATTAGAAGAAACCATAGGGAAAAAGCCTAATTTTAATTAATTAAAATTTTAATAACCTCGTGTGACTAGTAGCCATTGGATCAGACAGCAGAGATTTAAAAAGTTAAAAAAATTGAGCCTATAAAAAATTACAAAAAAACATAGTTGAATGTTTAACTGAACTTTAAATGAAGAAAGGAATTTCTAAATAAAAATATAAAAGAAAAAATATTTAAAAATATTGAGAAATTTCAAATTTTATATATTTTTAAAAAACTGACATCTTAGAAAATATTGAGAAATTTCAAATTTTATATATTTTTTTAAAAATTGTAAAGATGAAAGGCAAATGAGAAACTAGGAAGCATATTTATGACAAATATTTGAGGATTTATAGCAAGCTCTAAAAAAATTAATACAACACCCAATACTTTCTTAAAACAATGATTAAAAGGAATGAACAGACAGGACAGAGAAGAAATATGGCTGTCCAAGAAACAGATGAAAACATTTCACCATCACTAAAAACTAAGATACACAGAGCAAAACAGTGAGGCAACAGTTTTAAAGAACTTATCAATTGAAAAAGTCTAAAATAATAATCTGATTACATTGAGGCTGATGAGATGTAGAATGCCAGTGGGAATGTACATTCAGTGGGAGTAGAAGAAATTAAGTTAATGGAAGGGCCATTTGGTAATATATATTAAAAGCCTTTAAAAGTCTGCATACTTTTTTAAGGTTAGGTTTATTAATGCATAATTTACAAACAGTAAAATTCACCCTTTTAAATATACAGTTTGGTGTGTTTTGACACATGTATATCATATAACCACCACTGTAATCAAGATGCAAAGCAATTCTATTGCCCTCAAAAGTTCTCTTATTCCCCTGGGCAGTCAGTACCCTTCTGTCACCCCTAGTCTTGGCAATGATTTCTGCCCATATATTTTTTGCATTTTTAAGAATGTCATATAAATGGAATTATAGCATATGTACTCTTTTGTTTCTAGCTTCCTTCACTTAGCATAATGTTTCTGAGGTTTATCCATGCTGTTGTTTTTTTAGTAGTTCATTCCTCTTTAATGATAGGCAGTATTCTGTTGAAAACTACTATAGTTTCTTTGTTTCCCTATTGATGAACATTTGTGTTTCCAGTTTTGGACAATTATGAATAAAGTTGCTATAAGCACTCACGTACAGGTTTTTGTATAGGTCTATATTTTAACTTCTCAGTAAAGAACGAAGAGTAGAATTTCTGGATCACATGTACGCATATGTTCAACTTCAAAAGAAACAGCCAAACTTTTCCAGAATGATTGTACCATTATACATCCCCACCAGCAATGTGTGATAATTCCAGTTGCTCCATATCTCGCCACCACTTTTTTTCAAATTTTTAAAAAAATTTTAGCCACTGTAGTAAATGTAGTCATACTTGGTTTTAATTTGCCCCCATTATCTCTAATGACAAATGAATGATACTGAGCATCTTTTATGTGTTTATTTGGCACTCATTTATCTTCTTTGGTGAATCAGATGTGATTGTTTTTATATTGGGTTCTCTTCTTAATATTAAGAGAAATGTATGTTTTGAGATAGGTGCCCTTTGTCACATATTTGAAGCTATTTTTCTTCATGTGTAACTTATCTTTTCATTCTCTTATCTGTGCCTTTCAAAAAGCAGACATTTTTAATTATGATGAGGTC